ATTTAATAAAGAATTAGATAAATTCACAAAAATAGATTTGTCAGCAGCTATTACATATGATCATTTGGATTCAACCCCTACAGCTTCTGGCTGAAGAAACCTTAAATCTTAGAAAATTTTGGTAGTGAAGGGAACACTCTGTGCTTTGTGTTTCTACACCAAGAGGGTAACATCGGGGCGGCGTTGAGGGTGCTGTGCCCACGATCCCTGAAACAGACAATTCCTTGAAGTGAGTGGTTGGACTCAGCTGATGCAAATGCCTGAAAGCTCTGTGCAATCAAAGCAGAAAAATCAATGTGGCAATGTAAAACATGGTCCATTTAGAGTTAAATATTTCAGTCAGTTTCAATTAATCTTACAGATTGTAGTGAAATAGTGGTTTTTCATCTTTCTTGTATGACATTTATTATTATCCTGACATTTTTCATTGTTATTATACCAAGCACCTTTACCTGAAGAAAACAAAATGTTTTGCTTGTGTTGAAGGGAAGTATGTTGGAATTTACAACATTTAGGATAGTAAGAGAAATTAATTTTCTTCATTTTATTCCAAGTGAAAGCAAACAGGGAAATGCCAGAATTTCCACTGGCGTGCATGTATTTATTATGTGTATCTTGTATTTATTACTACTGCTGTGTATGCCTTGTTTCTTTTCAGCTCTTGGAGATGTGGCTGGGCTAGCTAGATGCTACTGAGCAGGGAGAACCAGCCAGCCCACGCAGCACTGAACCCTTGGTTTCATCTGCCCTTTGGAATGCCTGTCTTGTTTTCTTCACATTAGGTGCCTTTCTTTCAATGGTGACAGAAAATCAAAGCTCTCAGTGAGAGGGGACAGCAAAAGCCTCTATGCTGGGGATTCTGCTGCTGGCAAACCCAGAAGTCAGTCTTTACTAACAGGATATAGATCTGGGCTCAGATTTCGGTTGCAGTCAAGTCAAATTGACAAGAAATACGCTAAGGTGACCTCTCAGCTCAGGCGTGGGGCAGCAGTGGGTGCAGCGATCTCTCCTGCTTGGCTCATAAGCAGTGTAGTGAGACCCTCCAAAGGTAATTGTAGTTTTAAGAAATTAAGAGGTTTAAAGCTAACAGCAGTGGGGAGAATAAAAACTGATGCTGTGTGTTGTGGATCTGCTGTATTGTGTGACATGGCATCATGAAGTTGGGGACTACAGGGCTAGTGAAATCCATATTCCTTGGATATAGCATTGCCATAGACTTTGGTGGAAGAAGGCAATGCCTTCTGCGGCGTGTGGAAGACTGAAGGAGTTCCCAACAATAGAACTCACTAAAAAAAAGTCACTAATGATGGTAAGTGTTATGTTTCAGATTGCAAAGCTATCCCCATCAAAACACTGTCCTTTAAAATTTGCAGAGTGTTTATAACTTTCCTTCAATAATATTTCATAGCTGGTGCTTAGGTTGTGTACTAATGTAGTTGACTTGCTGGATAAATCTCAGCCAAGGGAGGGACAGGTAGTTATGAACATCTCCTGAAGCGTGGAAGGGAGTCAGGACCCAGCTGCCTTCCCGGCTGTCCTTGCAGTGGCGTAGGGGCTGGCACCACAGGTGATGAATTGGTATGTGTGGGCAGAGCAGCCTGTGTGGCTCCATGGAGACACGTCTCCTTACCACGAGCAAGTGGATGGAGGGTGGGAGGATGGAGCAGGGAGCGTATTAATCTCTTGACTCACCTTCTCATCAGTAAATTCCTTCCTTTGCAGGGTGAGAGGGAGTTACAGGAAAGAGCTCTGAGGCTCCACTGTGTTGGTCTAGGGCTTGGACTCCCAGATCAGCCATGCTTCCTGCGCGATGCCTTGTGCTCTAGCTCTGCTCTGATCTCAGGCACACTGACCAGAGGCAGCATAGCTTCTGCTGTGCTCCTCAGCTTCCATGAAATTAAGCTGTTAGTCTCTGTAGCCCCTGAAGGACAGACCTATCACACCACCATGTTCTTGGCTCAGTGGGGCCATTGCATAAAGGCGGCATTGTGCATGGTGTGGCTTCTTCAGCACCATCAGCTTGCCAAGTGAGAAAGCAAGGGTAGGATTCAAGTCCCAGCGGCAGGTGTCTGTGGAAGGGGTACCTGCAACTGAACCAGGTCTTTAAACTTCCCTTGGAGTTGGTGGAGATCTCATCAATGCAGGCAGCAAAGCCAACCTAACAATTCATTTCATCCTGATGGATAAACCTGAGTGTTATTTGTGCTTGACACAGAGTGTGGTTGTGGTAGATACTCAGCACAGGTCTGACTTACACTGGATGGGAGTTTAGCCCAGACATTTCAGATTTTTCTGTGTCATGGTCTTTCTTGAAAAACTTCCTTAATTCTCTGTCTGCTGTCAAGAGTCCAGGCCTCTTCCAGAAAAGTCCTCTCCAGCATCTCCACTGCTTTTGTGCCAAGAACATTGTGGGGTTACACCAGTTCACGCCTGCAGTGACTCAGGGGTGGATGAGGCCCCATGGTTTTAACCAGGTGCCAGAAAACTGCTCAACATCTGATGTGAGTTGGCAGAACTTCAGTGAATACCTCAATCACATTGGGCCAGTGATGTCTTAACAGGCATTGTGCCACCACCGTGAGCACCGGCACTTGCAAACTTCAGATCATTAATTCCTGTCTCTATTTTTCAGGCTGCTGTTTCAAAACCAGAAAAATATATATATATATCACCACCTTGTTCTTATACTGTGCACCTCGGTTGTGATACAGGAACTGATGGTTTAATTGTCCACTTAGATCAAAGTGTACCACCTTTGAGTCCAATTTTAAAATTTGTTATTGCTACTTAGATCTCAAGGAAGTGTCTTCTCCTGCTCTG